CTGCGCACCACTATAACAAAGCACTACACACCAATATAACAAAGCACTACACACCACTATAACAAAGCACTACACACCAGTATAACAAAGCACTGTGCACCACTATAACAAAGCACTGCGCATCACTATAACAAAGCACTACACACCACTATAACAAAAGCACAACACACCACTATAACAAAGCACTACACACCACTATAACAAAGCACTGCGCACCACTATAACAAAGCACTACACACCAATATAACAAAGCACTACACACCACTATAACAAAGCACTACACACCAGTATAACAAAGCACTGTGCACCACTATAACAAAGCACTGCGCATCACTATAACAAAGCACTACACACCACTATAACAAAAGCACAACACACCACTATAACAAAGCACTACACACCACTATAACAAAGCACTGTGCACCACTATAACAAAGCACTACACACCACTATAACAAAGCACTACACACCACTATAACAAAGTACTACACACCACTATAACAAAGCACTACACACCACTATAACAAAGTACTACACATCTCAAAACAAGTGAAAATACTTGAGAGTAGACATTATCCAAACACTAAACACCACAAGCTCATGTGAACAAGGCATCATTAGCACCATATGGGAAGTTACCGAACAAAAGAACGTCATTCAAGAATCTAAACAATCAGGCTCTCAAATCCACACATACCACATATGTAAGACAGTTACCTGAGTATGCAGCGACAGCAGGGAACCCACACCTTGTGAAACATCAATAGAAACCTTGAAAAAAAGTTCAGAAGTTTGCCACAAGATTAGTACCAGAATTGAGAGACGCCAGCTTTGAGAACAGGTTGAGAGAACAATCTTAGAGGAGAGAAGAGAGAGAGAGAGAGGGGGGATATATTAACTACGTTCAAGCTCTTGAAGAGAATAGAGAAAGTTATCAAAGGAATCTTATTTCAATGTAAAAGACGTAAGATGTGAGTTTGGGACCCTGACTCAGGTAGGGTTGTTGTGGTAAGGGACGCGGTGGTGATGACATTATTAACACATTACAGGACATTACAGGCAAAATATGACAATTTAACTATTTTCATATCTCGCAGATATCAGTGAAAATGTTTTACAATATATAATTCAAATTTAACTGGATATTGCAAGATTCATTTTTGGGGGTCACTTGGCACCATTTCAAGTGGCACTCAATTCATTTATGGCCGCCACTGTTCACGGAGGGGCACGTACCCAACATGAATTACTGTTAAAAATTTGGTGAGACTATCCCCAAGAATCTGAAGACAGACAAACTCACAGAAACAGAGACAGAAAGACAGAAAGAGAGAGGCAGAGACAGAATCATAGAAACAGAAGAATTATGTTGATATACACGGGATGTCGTATATGTTCTCATTTATAACCGTTATTTATATATTGATCAGAAATTTGTTTATTGCTGAATAATGCCGGATTAAAATATGTTTGTGTGTGTGTGTATGTGTGTGTGTGTGTGTGTGTGTGTGTGTGTGTGTGTGTGTGTGTGTGTGTGTGTGTGTGTGTGTGTGTGTGTGTGTGTGTGTGTGTGTGTGTGTGTGTGTGTGTGTGTGTGTGTGTGTGTGTAGAAACGGGGAGGGGGTTACTTGGCGTTCCTCTGGTGACGGACGTCACAGCTTCTCTGTTCACTATCTCCATCCTTGTAACCATCTTCCCTGTACACTATCTTCGTCACTGTAACCCTGTTAACTACAGACCATCTTTCACTCTGTAATAAATACATATCTTTCACACTGAAACTACCCTCACTACAAGCCACCTTCTACACTGTAACCATCTAAACTAAACGGGGCCATCCTCATCCATTCACACTATCTTCCTCACTACAACCATTTTCGCAGCGCAGGCACCGATAATTACCCAATCTACAATCACCATCATCACTACCTTCCATCTTCTTTACCACCTTCCTTCTCTTTTACTATATTGACTACCCTTCGTCCCCTTCCCTACCCTTCATCATCTTCTCTACCCTTCCCTACCCTTCACTACCTTCCCTATCATTTACCACCCCAATCATTCACCACCTTCCCTACCCTTCATCACACTCCACTCTTCACCACTTTCCCCATTTCCCTATAAAGGGAAAGTGGTTAATACCGAAGACAGTATTTACCTGTATCTATTTTCAGTAAATACTGAATTATTAGTCTGATATGTAGCGAGGATGGAGGCTGATATGTAGCGAGGATGGAGGCTGATATGTAGCAAGGATGGAGTCTGATGTGTCGTGAGGATGAAGTCTGATGTGTAGCAAGGATGGAGTCTTATGTGTCGTGAGGATGGAGTCTGATGTGTAGTGAGGATGGATAACAGATACGGAAGTTCTGTTTATGATAATATATTCAGTAAAGTAGGGACAGTTGTAAGTGGTTAATGGAATTCAACCTCCACTAGTGCAAGGTAACAGGGATCTATAGAGGAAGCATTAGACCAGAAAGCTTGTACATACTGAAGGATAGAGCTTACTGTATTTTACACGACTACTGTGAAAGTATTTAACAGAGTTTTACAGATTACTAAAATTCTAACGTTCACCAAACCATCAGATGTACAGTTTCTCGCATTACTCAGACAATTAAACTTCCTAATTAAACAAATATTCATTTCCAGAAAAAAAACAAAAAAATCTGAAATATATTAAAGGATCATTTGTTAATATCTGACGATTGGTATCTTCGCAACGATTACTGACTATTAATTACTTCAGTGGAATTCTTTTTTTTTCTGCTGCAGTTCGCAGATCATCTCAACCAAACAATATTTGTGTACTGACCGCGACCTCAATGGACTTGATTTCATCAACTTTGAATCATTAATTATTGCATCAATGAGGCCTCAGTCGAGCAACGAAACCTTTGACAAATAATCTAGATTATAGCTACTAACGGAGCTCGCCCTCATTAACAAATTGCATTCTCGTAGAAACTGTCGTTACTCATACAATTTCTTAGATTAGGTTAGGTTAAGTTAGGTTATGTTACGTTACGTTTGGTTAGGATGGTTTTGGTAAGGTTAGGTAAGGTTAAGTAAGGTAAGGTAAGGTAAGGTAAGGTAAGGTAAGGTAACGTTAGGTAAGGTTAGGTAAGGTTAGGTAAGGTAAGGTTAGGTAAGGTTTGGTAAGGTTAGGTTAGGTAAGGTAAGGTAAGGTAAGGTAAGGTAAGGTAAGGTAAGGTAAGGTAAGGTTAGGTAAGGTTAGGTTAGGTAAGGTAAGGTTAGGCTACGTTAGGTTAGGCTTCTTTCCTACGTCTTGTGGGATGTTGAAATAGGAGAGCATTAAAGGAATATGAACCGCCATGTGGCCGCCGCTGAGGAGATCAAGCGATGAAGAAACTATCCTTCCCTCGTCTAACTGAACTGCTTCTCAACGTCAACTAGACAAGGGGAAAGAGTTCTAAAAGGTATAATCGTGAGGAACGTGATTCTTATCATCACAAGGCCATATTCTCTAGAAGCAAAAAGGCCAGCAATTTGCTCATAAGGAACGCTTCAGCACCAGGTGGACTTGCTACAAAGAGACAAATGTCACCTATGCCATTACACGCCTACTTGGGTACTTGGGTTGGGTACAACCCCAACGATCTCAATATACAGGCAAGACAACATCTCTATCGAGGCGACTGACAATCCACAAATATCGACTTGAAATATCGACTTTTTATACCGAAAATATGCAAATTTCTGAGAGCAGCGATGGACCACACTTTGCCCAGAGCCCCCTGCAGTTTTCAAAATATTCCAAACAACCCAAATTCGAAGCTTGAGCCATCTTTTGGAGCCAAATTCTGGCTCTCTGCACAAATTCGCAGTATTAAATTACGACTTTATACCGAAAATATGCATTTACTGAAAACAGCGATGGATAACATTTTGACCAAACCGTCCCTGAAGTTTTCAAAATATCCCAAACATCCATAATTCGATGCCTGAGCCATATTTTTGCGCCAAATTCTTGCTCACTGCACGTATTTGCAGATTGAAATTACGACTTTTTATACCGCAAATATGCCAATTACAGTACAACCTCGATTCAACGTACTATATGGGACCACCCCCAGTTCGTTGGAGCGTTGGATTCGTTGCAAGAGGTGACCTTCAAGAGGCGTTTGCGTCAGTGTCTTTATTTTTTCTTGTACACAATAAAAATGCATTGTATCATATTACTTACTGTACCTATATTTTACTACTCTACTAAAAATACTGTAATTCATGTATTTACCTTATTGTTGGAGTTATGTCCATCTTGAAGTGTTGTGAAGTTGTGAATGCTCTACAGTAAATAGGTACTACAGTGCAGTAAGCCGTTAGCACTGTATTATTAAAAGTGGTTTTGCTGTATGTTGAGTACTACAATACAGTTCTTGAAAACTATTGTACATTAGAATTATTGCAACTTTAATTTTAACACTATGTACACACTTAAATTTAACACTTATTCTAATTGTTCACTTCACACACGATGTTTTTAGATGTTTGCATCAGCTTTGCTGGTGCTCGCTGCTGCTGTGTTGGCTTCAGCTGCTTTTGTGCTGGTGCTGGGTACAGCTGTGCTGGTGCTGATTACGGCTGTGCTGGTGCTGGGTACGGCTGTGCTGGTGCTGGGAACGGCTGTGCTGGTGCCGGGTACGGCTGTGCTGATTGATTTGCTGCTAGTTCGTGAAAAATATTGACTCATTTTCATTTGTTTCCTTCTTTGTGTCATGTCCTTGAGACAAATATCTTTCATCGTCCTTAGGTGTTGATAAAAGCCTGGTAGCTCTGGATTGTCAGTTTGTGAAACAATATCAAGGAGTTTTTCAACATGGAACAATGCGTTAGCACACGTAGCAGATTGTAAACTGCTATCATTCTCATCCTCATCTTCCTTTCCGTCGTCGTCAACAGTGCCAGTAACATTTTGTATAATCTCATCATCTGTTAAATGACCAATGGGTGGATCGACTGCATCAATATCTAACCACTCCTCCACATCGTTCAGCGTCAACTCCGTCTCACCAGCGGCACGCAGTTCTTGATAAATATCATTTGAAAATCCTTCAAAATCCATTTCTTCCTCAGTCACTTCATCAGCATGATCAAGCAACAGGAGTTTTTTCCAACAATTTCTTAATGTTGACTCTTGAACTTCATCCCAAACTTTAGCCCAGTTATAAATGCCTTCCTTAATTGAGTATTTTTGGTAACGTTCCAGTGTTGCTTGACCTCGCGAATCGGTTCCTTGTCTTTTGTCTTCATCTGACTCAAACACCACCATGATTTCTTTATTCATTTCTCGTTTGTAGAGCCTTTTCATTGCATATATAACACCCATTTCCATTGGCTGGATCAGAGAGGTGGTATTGGGAGGCAAGGCCATACATTTGATGCGTCCATCATGTGATGTTAATTTGTCGAGCCCTACATGAGCTGGGGCATTGTCAACCAAGAGTAATGCCTTGACATCATTCCGTCTCACTCCACACTTCATTATCTGAAAATCTCTAACTTCTTTGCAGAAATGATTTTTGAACCAGTCTACAAAAATATCTCCAGTAAACCAAGCTGTTTTAGAGCTGTAGTAGACCACAGGTAGCGTGTTCATTAAATTTTTCAAAGCACGTGGGTTTTTTGACTTCCCCACAATGGCGGACTTTGTTCTGTGACTTCCGTCTGCATTTGCACACAGCATGGCAGAAACTTTTTCTTTGTTTACCTTACGGCCAGGAACACTCTCATCTAGCCTAGATGCCAAAGTGTTGTTCTGCAAGCATTTCCAATTAAAGCCTGTTTCATCGGCATTGTATACCTGAAAACGCCTTAGATCATTTGTTATTATGTAATCATTTAATTTACGCTTAAATGGCTCGACTGAATCCGTATCTGCACTTAATGATTCTCCACAAACTTTCCTGTTCTTAATATTATGTCTATTCTTAAATCTTTGCAACCATCCTTCACTTGCTCGAAAATCTGGAATGTTCATCTTTTGTGCAAATTTATCGGCTGCTGTCTTAATGGCGTCGCCGCCAAGTGGCATCCCCCACAGAGCGCTCCTGGTTAAACCATTTATACACAGCTTCATCCAAATTCGTATTTGCAGAACCTTTTATTGTTTTCCTTTTATTTAATGCACCACTATCACTCGAAGCAAGAAACTTCCTAATATTATCTTTCTGTCTCTTGATATCACACACCGTACTTTTCCCGACATTAAATTCTGCTGCCAGCCTAGTAACAGTAGCCACGTTCATGTTTCTCTATCATGTCTAATTTCTGCTCAATGGATAAAAAACTTCTCTTCCTCTTTGCAGATACAGCACGATTAGCAAGCCCTTGAGACATCATGTTGTATATTAATAAAGCTGTAGTCAAAAAAATGGTAAATTCCACGATTATTCTTTCACCGGCGGACAAACACGTCACTCGCACGCAGACAAATGTAACAGCACTGAGTGCCTACTGTATAAACGCAGACTAGGTCTATACACACTCCAGTAGGCTGGTGTTTAAGCCAGATCCAGTAACATAAATTTATCTCAAATATTGGATTTACATCATATTATATATTTTTAGGTTATATATTTAGATTAGTAACATTATTAGGATAATAAGAGATATAAAAAACTTATTTTAGAACTGATTTATTAATTTTATTATTTCGAAGCCGTAGTCACTGAACTGTGGCGACGAATTGAAACGAGAAACGCATGGTGCTGTGTGTACAGGGATTAGACCCGTCCACTCGCTCACGCTGGAGTTGTTCCAATAACAAATAATTTCTCAAATAGCAGATGTCTATCATATTACAGTATATTTTCGGTTTTATTTAGTTTAGTTTAATTAGGATAATAAAAAGCTATTAAAGCATTGGTTTTAGAAATGATTTATTAGTGTGAAACTTTCAAAGTCATGGGTCACTGAACTATAACGACACAGACGAAGGAAAACCAAGTGAGGTTTACAGAACAGTATTCCCTTATCTGTCCACCCTCACTCACCTTGTTTTATCATAGAAAATGTCTATAAGGAGATTTTACGACATGTAGCTAGCTAATCACGCTTCAGCCTTTAAATTAATTTACAAAGATACGTCTGCCACAAATCAGTGGGAGGTTGGGAGGGAGGTGGGCAGGCAGAGCTTGTGAGGGAGAGGCAGGGAGGGAGGCAGGCACGGAGGGAGACAGGCACGGAGGGAGGCAGGGAAGGAGAGGATGGAGATGGATTGATGGTAGGATGGAGGGAGGAATGGAAGGATGGATGATTTGAGGGTGTGTGTGTGTGTATGGGCTGTAGGGGTGGGGGGGGGGAGGTGTGTCGGTGGTGGTGAAGGGACCGACTCGCTGATAACCCTAACTCTGACCCAGTTAACTTTTTTTTTAACTTGATTTGTTTCTTCAATTCTGGATGGATGGAGGGAGAAAGGAGATGGAGGGAGGGGATGGATGGATGGATGGAGGGAGGGAGGGAGGGAGGGGATGGATGGATGGATGGATGGAGGGAGGGGATGGATGGATGGATGGAGGGAGGGGATGGATGGAGGGGATGGATGGATGGATGGAGGGGATGGATGGATGGATGGAGGGAGGGAGGGAGGGGATGGATGGATGGATGGAGGGAGGGAGGGGATGGATGGATGGATGGGGGGAGGGGATGGATGGATGGATGGAGAGGAGGGGATGGATGGATGGATGGATGGAGGGAGGGGATGGATGGATGGATGGATAGATGGATGGATGGAGGGAGGGGATGGATGGATGGACTGTACTGAGATAGGCAATGGATTACATTTTGCCCAAACCCTCTCTGCAGTTTTCAAAATATCCCAAACATCACAAATTCGACGCTTGAGCAATATGTTGGAGCCAAATTCTCGCTCTCTGCACGTATTCGCAGTTTGAACTTTCGACTTTAATAGCGAAAATATGCCAATTACTGCGAGTAACGATGGGACACATTTTGCCCAAACCCCCTGCAGTTTTCAAAATATCCCAAACATCCCAAATTCGACCTTTCAGCCATATTTTGGAGCCAATTTCTGGCTTGTTGCACGTATTCGCAGTTTGATATAATGACTTTTTACACCGAAAATATGACAGTTAATGAGAGCGGCAATGGATAACATTTTGCCCAAACCCTCTCTGCAATTTTCAAAATATCCCAAACATCCCAAATTCGACGCTTCAGCAATATTTATGAGCCAAATTTTCGCTCTCTGCTCGTATTCGCAGTTTGAAATTACGATTTTTATACCGAAAATATGCCAATTACTGAGAGCAGCGATGGATCACATTTTGCCCAAACTTTCCCTGCAGTTTTCAAAATATCCCAAACATCCCAAAATCAACGATTGAGCCATATTTTGGAGCCAAATTCTGGCTCTCTGCCCGTATATGCCGTTTGAAAATCCGAATTTTTGTACCGAAAAAAATGCAAATTTCTGAGAACCACGATAGGTCACATTTTGCCCGAACAGCCTCTGCAATTTTCAAAATATCCCAAACATCCCAAATTCGACGCTTGAGCCATATTTGGGAGCCAAATTCTGGCTCTCTGCACATATTCGCAGTTTGAAATTACTACTTTTTATACCGAAAATATGCTAATTACTGAGATCGGCAATGGATAACATTTTTCCCAAACCCTCTCTGTTGTTTTCAAAATATCATAAACATCCCAAATTCGACGCCTGAGCAATATTTTGGAGCCAAATTCCCGCTCTCTGCCCATATTTGCAGTTTGAAATTACGAAATTTTATCCCCAAAATTACTTAGAGCCAATTACTTAGAGCGGCGATTGGTTATATTTTGCCCAAACCTTCCCTGCAGTTTTCAAAATAACCCCAAACATCCCAAATTCGACGCTTGAGCCGTATTTTGGAGCCAAATTCTGGCTCTCTGCACGTATTCGCTGTTTGAAATATCGACTTTTTATACCGAAAATATGCAAATTTCTGTGAGCAGCGATGGATCACACTTTGCCCAAACCCCACCTGCGGTTTTCAAAATATTCCAAACATCCCAAATTCGACGATTGAGCCATATTTTGGAGCCAAATTCTGGCTCTCTGCACGTATTCGCAGTATTAAATTACGACTTTTTATACCGAAAATATGCCAATTACTGAAAGCAGCGATGGATCACATTTTGCCCAAACAATCCCTGCAGTTTTCAAAATATCCCAAACATCCCAAATTCGACGCCTGAGCCATATTTTGGAGCCAAATTCTGGCTCTCTGCACGTATTCGCAGTTTGAAATTACGAATTTTATACCGAAAAAATGCCAATTACTGAGAGCGGCGATGGTCACATTTTGCCCAAACCCACCCTGCAGGTTTCAAAATATCCCAAACATCCCAAATTCTACCCTTGAGCCATATTTTGGAGCCAAATTCTGGCTCTCTGCACGTATTCGCAGTTTGAAATTACGACTTTTTATACCGAAAATATGCCAAATACTGAGACAGGCATTGGAACACATTTTGCCCAAGCCCTCTCTGCAGTTTTCAAAATATCCCAAGCACCCCAAATTCGACGCTTGAACAAATACGTGCAGAGAGCCAGAATTTGCCTCCAACATATGGCTCATGCGTCGAAATTAGGAAGTTTGGGACATTTTGAAAACTGCAGGGAGTGTTTGGGCAAAATGTAATCCATCGATGCCTATAGTAATTGGCATATTTTCTGTATAAAAAGCTGTATTTCCAAACTGCAAATACGTGCAGAGAGCCAGAATTTGGCTCCAAAATATGGCTCAAGGGTCGAATTTGGGATGTTTGCTATATTTTGAAAACTGCAGGGGGGTTTGGGCAAAATGTGACCCATCGCTGGTCTCAGTAATTGGCATATTTTCGGTATAAAAATTCGTAATTTCAAACTGCGAATACGTGCAGAGAGGCAGAATTTTGCTCTAAAATATGGATCAGGAGTCGAATTTGGGATGTTTGGGATATTTTGAAAACTGAAGAGGGGTTTGTGCAAAATGTGACCAATCGCCGCATTCAGTAATTGGACTATTTTCGGTATTAAAATTCGTAATTTCAATTTGCGAATACGTGCAGAGAGCCAGAATTTGGCTTCAAAATGTGGCTCAGACGTCGAATTTGGAGTGTTTGGGATATTTTGAAAACTGCAGGGTGGGTTTGGCCAAAATGTGACCATCACCGCTCTCAGTAATTGGCATGTTTTCCGTTAAAAAAATCGTAATTTCAAACAGTGAATGCGAGCAGAGAGCCAGAATTTGGCTGCAAAATATGGCTCAAGGGTCGAATTTGAGATATTTGGAATATTTTGAAAACTCACGAGGGGTTTGGGTAAAATGTGATCCATTGCCGCTTTCAGTAATTGGCATATTTTCTATATAAAAAGTCGTAATTTCTATTTGCGAAGACGTGCAATGAGCCAGAATTTGGCTCCAAAATATAACTCAAGGATCGAATTTGGAATAATTGGGATATTTTGAAAACTGCCGGGGAGGCTTTGGACAAAAATTGACCCATCGCTGCTCTCAGTAATTGACAAGTTTTCGGTAAAAAATTCGTAATTTCAAACTGCGAATATTTACAGAGAGCCAGAATTTGGCTCCAAAATATGGCTCAAGCGTCGAATTTGGGATGTTTGGGATGTTTGGGATGGTATGGGCAAAATGTGACCCATCGCAGCTCTCAGAAATTTGCATATTTTCGGTATAAAAAGTAAAAATTTCAAACGGCGAATACGCCATTTTGAAATAATTCTTTATCTATAAAGACATTTTGTTAATTCTTTATTAATGTACTAGATTGGTAGGGGGGGGGGGGCAGCCGGCATTGTTTGGGTGGGGGAGGACCCAGCACCCCCCTCCTCTTTTGTACACTAGCTTTATCACTGTAACCATCTACACTACATATCCATGATCACTATGTAGCCTCAATACAAAGCGACTATTATCACCGAAGCCATCTTCACTACACACGACCATCAACACTGTGTTCATCGTTACTTCACACAACCTTCAATCAACACTGTAGCCATCAACACTATACTCGACCATCTTCAAC